ATCGCCGAAAGGTATAATAAAGGCCATAGGATCGAAGGGTGGGCATCACGTCCAGGAGTGAGACCCAGCAGACCGCAGAAATCAAATTAACACCTCCAACGCCGTTTCCGAGGGACCGTCAGAAACCGAGGTGCCTACCTGCCAAAACCTTCATTCGGCTGGGGGCGGGGGTGTGCAATAAACAGATGAGACACAAAAACCCAATCCTGCTCGCCAGCTTGCCCAAGAAACATCCCTCTTTTTCCCAAAGAATTGCGCCAGAGCATTGTGTACATTTTCAAAAGCCACACTTACGCTGAACAAACGAGGCCGGTGGCTGTCAGATTGGCGGTGATCAGCGGCCCGTGGGGCATGTAGAAACGCAGTGATCGGCGCTAATGACTCGCCCGGTAATTATGCTAATACGCCTCCATCTACACGCTACAAAGGAAAGGCGTAAGTCGGTGTAGTGCGAGTCAAGCTTAATCACCGATCACTGCATACTCCGCTTTCTTCACTTTATCCCAGCTAACCTGCTTATTTTTTTTGTTAGACTTTGCTCAATATTTCCTGCGTATAATTAATCAGGGGGAAACGCGCAATTATAGCAACGCCGGAAATAAGCAAGACTGGAAAATGTCTAGTATCATTAGCAAGCAGATAAGCGAAACAATTGAGTCTTATTAACAAGGGGGGCGGGTGGTGCAAAAAATACTAAATATATTTTAAAAGGCAGCTCTTGGTGACCAAATGTCACACGTGTCCTCCGTACCATCTTCACGGTGGTGCTGCCTGGTCTGTCTCGTTAGAAGCTCTTAATTAGGGACTGGCGACAGGTGCTTCCTCACTGCAGCCTCCTCCCCAAGCGGTCTAGCGGGGCGGGGCAGACCCCACGCCGGCAGGGGGAGAGGGGCGCTGCCGGAGACAGACGGGGGACAGCCGCTCCAAGACTCCGCTGGGACCGGAAGATCGCTGCTGAAAGAAACATGTATATTTAACAACAAAGATGAGGCGGGGCTGTGGGGCTTTTAAATTATTTGTTTTCAAGTTTGGCACCGAATAGCTGAATATTTTGTAGAAAAAAACACATCTGGATGTCTCGGGGGTAAGACTAGGGATCTCTGCAGAGCACAGTGACTGGATGTCAAGAGATCCAATGTAGTCTATAAGCGTAGTAGAAAATTTAACCTCAATTTCCACAGCCACGGAGTATTAAATTAACCAAGAAAATGAAAACTATGAGCAAGATATTTGTGTTTATCTTGGGTTCAATGGCCACAGAACAGGATGTCGTGCAGGGGATAATTGTCAGTTTTCTTGGTGTTTCAGGTTTCTGACTTTATCGGTACAGTCACTGTTTATTGAGCCATTTTTCTCAACCGAACATTAAAACATTACAGCAGAACTGGTTTCAGTCAATTTCCCACATCGTAAAATGAAAGAATTCCATGCTCCTACCCATAAAAACAATCTTGTACGAACGAGGCAGCGGCTTGAACAAACCTAATCCTAAAACATACAAAGACATAAATAAACATTGCAGTTCTAACAGCATTTAGTTTGGTTTTCGCAAGCTTTAAGGCGCATCAAGATTTAATGCAATTCAAGATGCAGCGTCTGTGTGCCTCCTCCGAGATAAACACGCCCACAGCGAGATAGACTTCAAATGTGGATCTATTTAAAAACAAGAAAAAAGCACAAAAAAGCTGCACTTTCTCTTCCCCGCCAGGCACTCAAAGCACTTGCTTCAATGGTCCCTCATTTACTATAAGACCAAGGATTATCGGGATAAAATATATTGATTAAAACATTCCCCCTATTTAAAGGCAATGTTTGTCAAGATGGATGTCTGTATACACCTCAGTAGAACAAACACAAGGCCTTGTTTATGTCCATCAGAATGTCCAAGTCTGCAAAATAAAATAACTACCACAATGAAAGGGAATATTCCTGGTAGTTGAATTAAGGAGCCTTAGCCTTTCACCAGCATGTCCACATAATTCTGGGTCTCATGGATCCTCAGCAGGCGCTTTTATCCATATTGACATACAGTTAGGCAAGTGGGCCAGCCAGTCCCTGGAGCTGCATGGGTTGAGGGCCTTGCTGTGATACCCAACATTAAAACCACTCTGCCAACCCTGGGTTCTGCACTGGCAACCTTCCAATCACAGGCACAGCATCGTAACCTGCTGAACCACACCACCCACATGCCACTTGTGTTCTTCTCCCCCAGCGCAGAGGCCTGTGATATGAAATAATGCTGCTAAGCGTGAAATAGCTCTTAGGCTCTGCATTTTAATGGCATGTGTTTAGGCTCTGTATTTAAATGGCACGTGTTTAGGCTCTGGGTTTAAATGGTACACGCTTAGGGTCTGTGTTTAAATGGCACACGTTTAGGCTCTGGTTTTAAATGGCACACGTTTAAGTTCTGTGTTTAAATGGCACACGTTTAGGTTCTGTGTTTAAATGGCACACGTTTAGGCTCTGTGTTTAAATGACACACGTTTAGGTCCTGTGTTTCCAACCGAACAAAAAAAATGAAGGCCATTTTCACCCGTCTTTGCCAAGTCCCCCATGTGGCTGTGTCCATGTTAGACTTCTTTGATCTGACCAAGCAGGGTAACTCCACCCCGTAACTACATCAGAGCTGCCAGATTTCACTCCATCCAACTCCATCCCACATATGCGGCCTCCCCTTACACCACCTCTCCGAGACGCAGCCCCTGTGACTCCCAGCAAGACCAGCCCCCTCCCCATCAATGAAAAATTCATATGCCCTGTGTTCTAAGACAAAAATATCGCTGAGCAGGGGTGTTGCATAATTTATGGGTCAGATTGGAAGACTGGGCACATTTCAGTGTGTTTGACTTGGAGATACGCAAACTCACATAATTAAGAGGCCTGGGCGGCTCCCCCACAAGCAACACACACCATGCTGTTCAACACAAAATCCTCTGCAGCATTTACATTTCGCCACAAATGGAACGTGGTGAAACCGCCAACGTGGTGAATATTTAAAGTATGAATGCACATTGTTGTGTCCATCCACAAGAGCAGATGCTCTGCTTCTGCAGTGACTGGGGGATAAACAGAGCCGATCCGAGCCGGACCTGTGCCTCTGCATCTCCCCGTTTTCTCCTTGCCGTCTCACAGTGTGATGTTCTTCAATGGGCTCATTATTCCAGTTCTCCTTTGGTGATTTTTTTAATTTATTAAACTACAGTGGAAACCGCTTATAGTGGTCATGTCTGTCTGGGTGAAATTGATCATTATAACCATTTTTTTCCTATATGTCTCAGGCGGATTACCATCTAACTGACATTTGTATATTTATTACACAACTATAAGGCAATAAATCGGACAGCATCGCTGTTTACTGAATTTCACTTTTTCAAAATACAGTGCAGCTGTTACAAACACTTTCAAGTTACAGTACTATACAAATAAAATTACTAAACTGGAATAATTCAAATATGCTATAAAACAGCACAGTAATGCACATGCATTTTCCATTCAATTTTATTTATACAGTTAATTTTGACAACGTCACATCATCTCAAAGCGCTCGGTGTAGTTTCACTGCTGTATCTTAGAGGCTCATTTTTGGCGGTTTATCATAAGCTTAGTTGAGTCTATATTTGTCATTGACAGAAAATGACTCTTTTCCCCCCATCATGTTTTCTGTGCGCACAGCATTAGCCTACGGTAGCTTGCCAGAAGCAGACGGGTTACTACAAGGCGATGTCATGAACTCGGGCGGTTTGGGCGCGAGGATGAGGCACGGTGCAGGCAGGAAGGGAACGTGAACGACCCACTGGCGGCTCAGAGAACAAACAGGGATTTATGAACAAACAGAAAAACACTAAAAGTAAAAGGGGAAAAGCAAAGACTAACTACAAATGGGGCAGGTGGGCAGGTGGGCAGGCAGGTTGCAAAAAACCAGAACATTTAAACCTACCTGACATCCGACAAACATCATACAACGATGAACCACTCAGGAACGGAACAGAAGCAGGGACTTAAATACTGAAACTAAACTGGGTAACAAGACTAACACAGGGCAGGTGAGACCAATTAACAAGGACTATTAAAACAGGCAACAGGTGACACTAATAATTAACTCAAAGAACTAAACAGGGAAACTAAGAACTGACAAAGGAAAACAGAATCTTCAGTGAGGTGCCCAAAATGGTGCCCAGTCAGGTACCCAAAGAAGTGCCATTAGGATATCAGTGACATCATAAAGCCACATCTAATCCATCCTTGGAGGCCTCTTTACAATGAGAGCAATGGAGCATCACAGTCGGGGTTACTGTCCACCCAGAAGCTGTTCTGATGTGCAGCCATGGACAAATCCATCATATCAGGCACAGGTGTACAGGTGCAGAAGGTCTGGAGAGAAGAGTAATGCGATTTGTGGTGGTATGCAGGTTTCTGCAGTGAGGGAAGTAAGCCTGGGTGTATAATATGGAGCTGAGGACATCTTAACATCAGCACAGGAGCACAGAGGAGATCTTTGGTCTATTCAGAGGAGATCTGTGGTCTACACAGAGGACTGTAATTGTCACCTTTCATTTCTGTATCTCTGGCTCTTTGGAAACTCACAGCCGAGCTACGTGATTTTTTTCCCGATCATATAGAGGATAAACTTCTGTATTTTCTATTATATTCTAATATTTCTCTCTTTGTTATTTATATGTTATATATTATTTATCCTCATTATGTACTTTACTTTCCTACATGAAGTTCTCATTTCAGTGCCGGCATTTGATAAATAAACTTTGATTTGATTTAAACATGAATCCCAAATCTCACATCAATAGCAATGAGGGCTATCGTGACAGGACATAGATCAGTGAAGCAGTAATTAAGGGGATACAAAAAAAACCCCCCAACTTACTCCGAGCTCCAAAACGCAAGAACTAAAATCGGAGGAAGGCGCTGCGACAGGATAATGCCGACCAGCAAGGCTTCCCTGTGTCTGTGCAGCTGCGTAATGTAATTACGACTCAACGTCCCCACAATGTTCAATTTTTTTATTATTAAACTGGCCTTTCGAGCCAAAAAAGCGAGCTGATCCTCATTTTCTCTGAGCAAAGCGTACAGTACATGTCAGCTATAAAATTATACCTTTTCCATAATAAAAATGCAAAGCCCTTCGCAGACATAGCGAAGGCTCACAGGAATCACTGTTATCAAACACAGCACAGCACAGGCAGCCATATTCACTCACAGAATCAGCAGAACGAAGATACGAGATATTCCGTTTGCCAATGCAAAATATATATATATGTATATATATATAAGAAAAAATTATACAAAACTACAAAAAAGAAGTGCAGATGGAAAAGTAAAAAACTTGTAATTGAACTGTATCTGTGTTACTAAAAACCATTATGCGGAAATTTACATAAAAGTACAATATCTAGGATACTTAGTACTTTACACATTTTATACCAAACGCCAACTAGTTTCCACCTCCAATGGAATGTGTATAAATTGTTACCACATTTCAATATGTATTCTGTTGGATTATTTTGCCAAATGGACCCTTTTAATACATTCTACAGTATAGACATAACAGTACAAGAGCAATAACTGTAATGAGGTTGTATAGTTTTCTATATTGTATACATAAATACACGATAAACATTGTATTGTAACTACCCCAAAGATTACACTTCTCATTAGGAAAAAGCAACTTTACTATCCTTATGTGTTTCATATATTTTATCTATGCCTGACATACATAAAATATATTAAACATTTCACCAGATTTAAAGTTTTAACATCAACAGAATAAATGTACAGACAGCATATTTAGACATGTGTTTACTGCCTGTAGGTATATCTGTGTATATGTACAGTGTGGGACCACCTCAGACCAGCTGAGACCACCTCAGCCTGCCTCACCCTCCTCAACAGGCTGAGACTGCCTCACACCACCTCAGACCAGCTGAGACCACCTCAGCCTGCCTCACCCTCCTCAACAGGCTGAGACTGCCTCACACCACCTCAGACCAGCTGAGACCACCTTAGACTGCCTCACACCACCTCACACCACCTCAAACTGACTGAGACTGCCTCAGCCTGCCTCACCCTCCTCAACAGGCTGAGACTGCCTCACACCACCTCGAACTGGCCGAGACAGACTCAAACCAGCTGAGACTGCCTCACACTCCCTCACAGCACTTCAGATTGGCTGAGACTGCCTCATACCATCTCAGAGTGGCTCTGACTGGTCATGCCACCTCAGAGCAGCCTCAGCAGCGGGTCCCGACTGCCACGTGGGCAGACATCTCCCGGCGGATGGTGCTGAACGGCGACAGCTCCAGCTCGGTGGTGCACTCATGGTCGTTGTCATCACTGGCGGCGGCCGAAGAGCGCGCATGGCCACAGCCGTCACAGCAGCAGCAGCAGCAATCAAGGAGGGCGCGCCCGAACGGCCGGCACAGGAGCAGCAGCAGTGCAGGCGTGGCAGCCGCGCGGCAGAAGAGCAGCAGCTGGCCGAGCAGCTGCAGCAGTTCCAGGGAGCTTCGGGGGACGCCGGCGGCCACGTATGCCGACACCATGTTGCAGGCATTTTCGGGCATGACGCAGACGCCGTAGAGGATGGCCAGCGCCACCACCGTGCAGTTCATCTGGCTCTCCAGCCGGATCTGCTTTTTGTTGCCGCGTGCGCACGCTCTCTCAGCCTGCCGGATCTTGCGCGCCGTGGCCAGCGAGCCGCCGATGGTGAACAGGGTAGGCAGGCAGAAGTAGCAGCCGAAGAACCACCAGAGGCGGGCGCCGTCGTAGGTGAGGCCCAGCAGGTAGACGGCGTCCGGCAGCTCGGGGGAGACACGCACCACGCAGCGCTCCAGGGCCGGTGCCCCCGGCACCTCGGGCTCCTCCCGTACCAGCTGCCGCAGAAGCAGCTCGGGCAGCGCCAGCAGCAGCGCCCCCACCCAGATCACAGCCAGCTTGGCCGAGGTGGAGCCACAGTTCTCCATCATCTCGTAGTACATCTGCACGTTGGTGGCGGCGCGGTAGCGGTCGATGCAGAGTGCGCACAGCGTAAAGGTGGTCACGCCGAGGGAGGCCACCTGGAGGGGTGGGGCAGGTACAGGGGTGGGGTCAGGGCGGATCAGGGGC